CATAGCAACCACTGGATAGAAACCACGTGAGCGCTTGAGTTCAAGCACCCGTTGTTTGGCATCTGTGTAAGCTGCCATTGCCATGTCGTACTCTTCGGTGTCGAAGATCGTGTCCTCATCGGTGTGATGTAGGTATGCCAAATCTTCTGGGTCATCAACGAGGTCGTACTCCTGGTCATACCATTCATCAGCTTCATAGAAAGCATCTTCATCGGGCTCATATTCTTCTGTCCAGTCATCCTGTTCCCAAAGCTCATCGTCCTCAGCCATGTGGATGAGTTGGCGGGATTTCCATCGTCCTTGGAAGCTTTGGTTCTGAGCTCGTCGGACAGCAGGTTGGTGGACATGCTTGTAGTCTTGTCCGAGGATCATGTACATGGACTTCTCGATGTTGTTGAGGGACATGTCGGTGCCGGTCTGTGTATAGATCATCTGTTGTTGATCTTTGCTCAAGCCAGCTTTTCTCAACAACAGCCAACCAGCGACCTGCTCGGGGAGCGATATCTTGTACTTTTGAAGTTCTCGAAGGGACTGCTGGTGCTCAGTGCAGAGCTCAAGGAGCGACTGCCCAACTCGACGTTGCGTCTTGTAGAAGTACTTCTCGAATGCGTCAGGCATTTCAACCCGATCATCATACTGCCATTGGGCGTCCAGCCTCTGCAAAATGCTCTTGAGGCCATCGTCCTTCTCGAGGGCGTCGAGGTCCAAGTCCTCGCATTGGCGCCAGCTTGCACCTTCCAAGATCGACAGGACTGACAGACCTGTCTCATTTGCTCTTCCTTGGATCGCCTGGCGGCGGGCGAACAGCAGGATCCTCTTGCGCCACTCTCGGTAGCCGGTCATCGTGTTGTCGAAGCGCGGGATGTAGCTTCTTTCATCTTTTCCAAAGGTGGCCTTCTCGGCCGGCTCTTTCGCTTGCGAGCTTCCCTTCGGGGATCGAGACATGGCGGCAAATGGATCCGGAGCTGCTCTTTGGCAGCTCCGCTACCAATGTGAAAACACGGGAACACGAAAGGAGATCAAACCGAGTTCACCGTCGATGCGGAACGCTCTAGGTTTCCGTCTGCAACAAAAGGGGCCTTTTCCTTCAGGGCTCATGTACGAGCAGCCACATGTTGTGGCCCAAGCGCGCTTGAGGAAGCGGCGAGAGAACGAGTGCGAATCGAGCGCAGTCATCATGGAATGACTTCACATCTTGTTTCTTGCTTCAAATTCACACCACCGACTTCAAGCATTCTACCGCCCCACCCCCTTGTTTGACTCCCAGACCGATATTGACTCAACCAGCTGCATCGACGTCCACGTTCCGGGACCAGACAAATCGCCTCTTCCACTCGGACCGTGGCTGCTATGGGGTCCGTGCGGACGGAGAGGGGCTGCCTCCCCTGCTGCAACTGTGACTGGGCCACCGGCTGGGGCCGATTTCCTCGCGGCGAAGCTCACGGAACGGGTGAAGAAAATCGTTCGAAGTCACACGGAACCTGGCTCGCTAGGCGGCTCGCTACTGTAGAGGACTGACTGTCTGACATTGTCTGACTAGTCCTGACGGACCAGGTTCTCCTTGTTCGAGTTGGACATGTCACCAACTCAGACGGGTCTTTATCCGTGAAGTCGACCCACGAGTTTCTTGCTCTCTTCGAGCTGAGAAACGCGGGAACACGAGGGTGAGCAACCCGACTTACGCAGTTGAGCGGCCTCTAACGACCTCGGTTTTGCTTATAAAGGGTTGTATTTCAATAAAGGAATTCCGGAGTTCCAAGTGAACAAAGATATGTGGGTGTGTGTTTGAACATCCGGAATACACCCGATCGCCCCTGGCTGTGTAGACTCTAGTTTTCCGAACCTTCCAGGGGGTCGAAGTGTCGAACTTGGAGGTCTCCCTAGATGGAAGACACATCCATTTATTTTTTTTTTCAACTAACCGTTACTAACCATTCATTTGGAAGATCCATTAACCATGGTCCATGTTGAGAATCTCAGCGTGTATCCGGGATTCGCTCCAGGTTTGGTGGCCGTGCCACAGGAGATGGGACGGGACGCTGGAGAGCCGCCAAGGTAGAGTTTTTGGCACTACTTCTGGAGGAAGAACGTGTTTCGTTCGTACCAAGTCTTATAACATTTGGATCAGCCGCAGTCAAGAAGTCCAAGCCTCGTGGGTCTGGGACGGTCACTTGTCACCCTCCTTTTACTTGACAATTAGGCTGTTCAAGGGAGGACATTCGACCCTGTGAGGTGAGAGAAGTTGTGACAGGATTCTATGAGGTTGTCAATGTTTTTCCGAGACATATAGACCAAGTCATGGACATGTCCTTTCATGTCCAGAGGAAGGCTGGATTTGTTAACAGCACGTCACTAATGATGTGCGTTTCTGTCGTGGTGGTCAATCCGACGTGTCTTTCCCCAGTGATCTTGTTGCTAGGCGCTGTCCACTGCCTCGCTGGTCCTTGTTTTGTGTGCTCCTAGCTGTGGGGTGCCCTGTCTTGACTGTCCAGGACAAGTACGTGGCAGTGGAGTACTTTGGCAGCTTCACGCAGACCCTACGCCCTGGTCTCAATTGGGCGGGATGTGACTTGGAGTGGGGATCGCCATCCAAGGGCTGGGCGGAGGGCAGGCCGGTGGGGGATCGTTCAAGAGCTGGGGCCGGTGTTTCGGTGGGAGTTGTTTTGTGTTTTTCCTTTAAACTTGGAAGAACCCGCCAGGAAGCTATGATATAGGAAGACCCCAGGTTGTTCTTTCTATTTGGGTTAAGAGACCAGCCAGGACTTTTGTTTTTGGTTTCCTTTTGTCTGCAACGCCCACGGCCGCCCACGTGAACGTTGGGGGGTTTGTAGAGGAACTTTGGCATGGAGAGGGTATGATGGACTGCCAGGAACTAATCATCATTCAAAGCTCAAAGTAGTTTCTGGGATTAGTACTTCTGGTTCTTGCACCCCAAATGCGACCTTGCTGCCAAAAGATTTGATTACGTCTGGTTCTTTGGACAGAATGCAGAAAATGAGTGGAGCATGTAGATCTTGAGGCTGGAAGATCATCTCAGGAATATCGCAGTTTTGAGTTGTTTTGGTTCAAGAGCTTTTTGGCCACACCCACTTGTGTTCACTGAAAAGCGAAACACCAGTGCCAGGACCCCACGTTGTTTTTTATCATGGCCCTCTAAAGGCCACCACAAAGGCCAAGTGTTTCATTTCCTAGCAAGATTAACATGGAACTTGAAAACCACTGGTTGTGGAGGAAGCTAGTCTTCCAAGCATTTTTCAGTTCCATGTTATATAATCTTCCCGGGTGTATTTCTATTCACCTTAGCGTGCATGTTCTCTTTACAACCATGGTACTATGTTCACTGCACCAAAATGCAACAAAGTTCATGTTGTGTTGCTTTTCGCCGGAGTTCCAGTCGGAAGACTCTTGCTGGACCGCTGTTCTTTTGGCTCGGAGGAAGGTCGTGAAACGACGCGGATCACCCACAGTCATCGAGTGCCAAGTGCAGATTGATCGCCATGCCTGAAGGTGACAAAGTCTTGCTTCTGGCCGTAGAAGATGTGGGTGTGGCTCAAAATACTACCAAGAACGATGCGTGTGGAACATGTCTGGACTGGGGGGTGCAGCGTAACCGTTCTGGGCCCGGCGAATAATTGCAGTTTTGGTTCAGCAAGAACTAGCAGGGACGACTTTTGTACAAACCTCAAAGGGCTCAGAGCAAGAGTCAGAGGCACAAGGCGCAGCTCAACTTGGGTTGATTCGGATTCCCTGTGTGTGTGTGTTTACTGTCTTTCGTTGTCATGAGGATGGTTTTCTCTGGACTTGGTTCTAGACTTTATTCAAAAGACGGCCGAGCTCCTTTGAGTGCATGAGAAGGTTTTGCGATGAGGTGTTATAGTGCAGAACCTGTGGTGGAAACCTCTGGAGAGCCATGGAGACACGGACACACAGTCTTTTGAAGAACACCTTCAGAAGGTACCCCTTGTACCCCTAAGGCCCTAGATTTGCAATGATTTACAAGCTTTTACACATTTTTTCATGCGGGTCTATGCCATCCTGGTCAAAGGTGCAGAGGAACCCCTTCATGCTGAACCCCAAAGCAAATCAAGCGAGTGAGACGCGCATCTCTCTTGTCGCAGCGGCGCCGAGCGGGCGAAGCTCCGCTGGCCGAGGCTCAAATCTTCCCAAGGCGAGATCTTTGAAGTCGAGCCCGAGGTGGCATGCATGTCCACGTGACTCGAACGGCAAAGGTCCGAAAAAGAAACGACCAAACCACGCCCCACGGTGAAAACAAAAAAACACGTGAGAACAGCAAAAGCGGTGTTTTCTTCCACGAGTTGAAAGAGGGGGGCAAGGGATTCTTCTTTGGGGGCACGTGGCCGTGGTTTTTCAGCAGGGGGGCACTCGTGGAAAGAACAGTATGACTCAATGAATGACCCCTTTCATAGAGTGTGAATATCCTGTCCAAAAAGACAAGCAAGTATATAAATATAATGATATGTACAAGGTAATGATTGCAGATCGATTGTATAATATGATTGTATTTGCCTTGCATTTTGCCATAGTCCTTCTGCAATTCACTTTGAAAGCCGTCAGTGATGATGCATTTATGATATATATATATATAAATATGTCTTTCTGTCTAATTTGCCCATGTGTGAGGGACTAGGAAGGTATCAACAAACAAGTGGAAGTAGTCAGAGGTAGATGACCGGCACATGAAAATATCTCCGTCATGTGTCTTTGGCCTGACGCTAGGGAGACATAGTTGAACGCAACGACCCCCTGGAAGGTTCGGAAAATACACGAGTTGACCCTTGGGGCAGGGCTTATCCCAGCTGGAATGCCCAACTCGTTTGTCGCTTCAAGTTCACTCGTCCTTTTCTTGCTGTCGGACAGGTGAGCGGATTGAAGCTCCTGGCATTTTGTTGAATTTCAATCGAACCAAGGGAAGAAAGGGCACAATGCGGGGCCAAAGACCGTGATTTTGCTCGGGATCTGTACCCAGGTTGGTCAGGAACATGGTGGATGACAGTGGAACAGATGAAGAGATCCCTTTGCCCAATGTGAAGACGGCCATCCTCAGCAAGGTCATTGACTATTGCAAGTACCATAAGGATCCTCATCTCAACATGATGCGGATTGGGTCAGCGGGATTATCAGGAGCCCCTAGTAGCTTCTTGTGACTCGCCAGGAGCCCCTAGTAGCGTCCGATGTTATCAAAAAGGTGGCCTGCTGGAGTTATCTGGCGGATGTTTGTTTTAGGTGCCAGACTCGGTGCTCGTGCGGACTGACGCATGATTTGAAGCTTGAAGCCTGAGGCCTTTTTCCCCGAAGCCTGAGCAACAGACCCTTTAAACAACTGACCTTTGTCCGTCTTGTAGGACACACCACATCCAAGTATTCACATCCACATGGCATCCACAATGGAGGGAGCATCTCTGCCGGTGCCTGAGTCGGGATGGATTTCAAGCTATGCACTTCGTTCTCAGAAAGCCTGAGTTCTCCCAGTTTGGGGTAGCCAGCAATAGCTTGGGTATGCCGGGTAGGCATCAACCTTAATTGATACTATATTGTTATGATATTCTATGTTATGATATTCTATGTGCAGATTTCAACCTGTAAAAAGGCTCCACAACATTGAACACATGAACAACGGCTCCCAAAAAAGGTCTCCAAGCTGACATGCTGGTTCCTTCGGCTGGAGCGTTAAGTGCACTGGATGAAGTCCTGGACTTCAGCTGTCCCTTCTTTCTGGTTCAAAAAGGATCTCAAAGGCTTTCCATAATGCAGACTCTTGATTAATAACCCCCCATATTATATGAAGATGTTGTTCAATTAAAATGTAGGGGTTATTAATCAAGACGCTACACTAAGATGGATAATGCCTCACCACTGAGGTTCCATTCCCATGTTTCGCGGCGAAATCCCAAGCCCCACATTTTTCGGCGGAACTCCGCTTCGGGCCGGAACGCCATGCCCAGGACAGTCCCCCGGAGGAGATTCAGAAGCCTTTGAAGAGCACCAACTTAGTTGAGTGCGGCGTCTCCGAATGGGACAATGAGTATGTGAACATCGAACAGGAGGTGCACCGCCGGTGGAGCGCTTTTTTCTCCCGGTCAGGGAAACAAAGTCAGGGGTCCCAAAATCAGTGCACTTTAGGTTGAGGCTACCAGGTAAGGCGTTATATCTTAGTGATGTGAAATGATGCTCACCTGACTTATGGCTTTGGGTTTATGTAGTTGTCGTTTTCTAGAAGTGTCTATAAGACCTGCTGGTCAATGAAGGAGCCACGTCCCGGTCCCTTCATCCTACGGCGAGCCGCGCGGCTCGCGCGGCAGGTGCTCTTTGAGCTGATCTTGGCCGCAAATTACCTGGACATCAAGAGCCTCTTAGACGCTTGGTGGGATTCCGGAGTGGAGGACGGCAAGAGGATCCACGTGGTTTTGGTATGGGAGGGAAACAAGGTGAGCAAACAGAAGGAGGGAAGCCTATGAATCGAAGCCAGATCTGGGATCAAAGGTGTCAAAAGTATCACATGTAGGATCTTAATACCCCCCATGGAAGGTGTCTGTTGAGATCAAAGGATCTTGATTAATACCCCATTTGGATTGTAACAACCTCTTCGCCCTGGCCTAGCCGAAGACACCCGTCCGATGGTCCGAATCGCGGTCTAAGGACTTGACCTGTGCCAAGGTAGCCTCCATGATCAAGGGCAAAAACACTGAGGCGATTTCGAAGGGAAGAGATCGACGCGAGGAATCGGGGGTCATCGACGTCGGACCGGCCAGAGCACTGGGACATGTGGGCTGAAATGATGCACTGCCCGGTGCCAGACGGTTAAGGGTACGGCACCAGCCTTTGATGAGGGAACCTCAGGGAACCCAGGGCAGGGCCGACAAGGTTCGCTCGGCGCTTTAAGAAAGAACACTCTAGGCTGACCATGTTCGAGAATCAGGGGATGGTGAAGACTTTAGAAGTGTTTGGAGAGAACTGTGCCGAAGAAGCACACAGATTCAACCTGACTTGTTACTTGTTATTCAGTTCAGGGCTTGTTGACGCACCAGCCTTCAATGTCATCCCTGGAGTTATCAGCCTAAGACGGGCTGTCTCTTGCCGATCCCTGCCAGCCTACCGGAGCCTGACGCGTTCCTTCGCTGATCAGGAGATCCGCAAGCAATTCAACATCGTGAATGACTTCACACCTGAAGAAGAAGCACAAGTGAGGGAGGAGAATCGTTGGTGTGAAGACGCATGAGGGCAGCACAATGCTGCATGCCCCGGCATTTTGATCTAGGGGACAGGTTCCTGGGGAATGTTGGCGGAAGCCTAAAAAGCTGTGATCTTCGCTTGGCTGGAAGAAAGATGAAGAAAGTAGGTCTTTGGGAAGAAAGCGGGCATACACCAACTTTGGATATCTGACTTGTAGATGCCACACTTCACTGCACTGGTGCACTAGGACCAGAGGTGAGAACTGGTGGAACAGTGGATGCGATTGGTCAACGAATGAAGAGAAACGGGATGAGATTTAGACGCTGAATTGGGGCACTAATTTAAGCTGTATGAAATTCCTGAAGGAAACTCCACTCCAAGTTTACTGAGCTATACTGAGCTATATATGCATATCTATTTACATCTTCTTTCTGACCATGTAAAGAGACAACACCGCCATGACAACCGCCGCCATCTCCGCCATGACAACCGCCGCCCTCTCTCTCGGCTCTCCGGCTCCTCCTGCCAAGGCGACCTGGGAGGTCTTTGTGTGGCGCTCCGATCCATTTCTTCGCGCACGGAACAGCTGGAGGTCAAGGTGACCACCAAGAGCAAGGCACCGGTGCTGGATACCGTGGGTATGCAGGGCACTGGGCCGTGTGGGTGAGGGTTTGAGCATGTGTTGGGCGCGGGGGATGTTTGTGATAACATTGCCTGGGAGATGTAGGGTGTCATGCAGAAAGTGCCTCAAACCCGATCACCCCGTATAAACATGCCAAGATCTGTGTTTCACCTACTTCTTCTTTCCCCCAAAGGTCAGCATGCACTGTTCTTTTTCATTTTTCCATTGCCCTTGAAGTGGTCGTGACATCTTTCCCTTTTTCGCGCCGAAGCGTCCGTGGACCCGTGACCGTGACCGTGACAGAAAGACGATGTCGTGGCCACTTCGAGTCGGAGGGTCGACCCATGTTCCGCCTGAAGGCTCGACGGGTGGGAGACCGACCCCACCCAAACCAGTGGACGGGTGCATCTCGGTGGACCGTGAATTTAAAATTAAATGTAAGTCTAGTAGCTTCTTGTTACTACTAGTAAGGCACTTGTTACTACTAGCGTGGCACTTGTTACTAATAGCTTCTTGTGTCCATTCTTGACGGATCTCACCGAAAACACTGTACGGATCTCACGTACGTCGGGATGACTTGTCTCTGAGAAAAGGGTGCGATGAACTCGTCTCTTAGAAGGTTTCCTGGTTCAAGAAGCTTCGTCCACAGAAAGCCTAAGTGTTTTTGGGATCCATGCCTTCACAGTCGTCATCAGACCAGTCGGTTGCACCAGTGTTGTTTCCTTCTTCTGACTTGTGCTTAGACATGCAAGAGACTCCTTTTCCTGTGGCTCCATCCGAGCTGAGCCGAGCCGAACTCCCGGCGACGGCTCGGTCCGTCGTGCGTCGCACGTGTCAGGACAACGTCTTCTGCACGGTGCACATCTCGGTACAGTTTGCCGTGAACCCTCAGCAATGCGAAGATGCGATCCTTGGGCGAAGAACGCGGAGCGTTTTCACGCGGATCCAACGGGGAAAATCCGGAAACGCGGAAACGCGAAGAGGGAGGACGGATGGTGATGGTCGAAGAGGCTTTTTCTCTCATGCTGCGAAGGCCTGGACAAAGAGGTCAAAGATGGATTCTTTCTTCCCCATTCTTCCCCAGAGCTCCAAGTATCTGTATATAATTATCCTGAAAAAGGTGTTTCTTCAGGAACACCTTCTGTGGAAGTACTCGGAGCACTGGGGTTTCAATGGGTTCTTTCTCCCCTTTGCCATGTTCTTTCTCACCGGTGCAAAGGGCTTTCTCCTTGGCTCATGTAGACAGTTCCGGGAGCTAAGTGCCTCAGCTCACAGAACCAGACCTGAGGTCTGAAGCGCACGCGGCGCGTGGGAAGTCCTGGGGCCCTGGGGGTTATAAGCACCATATGGTCCATCTGAGAGGCCAGGCAGTCGCTTGAATACGGAGATGTCCTGCAGAAACTCTTAAGAATGTGCCCAGTTTCAGAGAGCGGCGTTTTGGAGAATTAGGGACATGGTTCAATTTGTAAGTTCATAGAGGACAGTGAACAGTAGAACATGAAATTAAGTGCACAATAGTGCACTCATATACAAATTTATATATGTTCCTGTCATATATTATTGGCATTGCCTATATTACTTGTTGGTAGCTCAGACTTCTCTTCATTGGAATCACATTTGATCACCCCTTGATCGCCTCAACTCAAAGGTCCCTAAGATCAGTTCTCATCGTAGGGAGAGGAGCAGTCAAGAAGATCTCTTAAGGTCATAAAGCTGAAAGACGAGTTCCTAGAAACAAGATACAGTATATAATAGTTTCCAAGACAGTTATTTTTAGTTGATGATGTTCATCAACCAACGATACACCACCTCAGCATATAGCATGGTCGAATACCTCAGCTGCCTTCTTTTTTGACGACTCGTGACTGAAGATTGTAGCATGACCTCAGTGCGGACTGCAAATAGCACATGGGAAAACTCCCTACTTTCCAGATATTGGAAAGGATGAGAGATCTTCTCCTTGTGATGCTACTTTTAGTGATCCATGTGGGTGTTTTTGCCTGGTGCCTCCTACAAATCAGAGCTGGGAGTCGGCCGTGCTTCCTTAGGATCTACAAGCTGGCCAATGCCATTGGGCGTTGTTGAAGGGGAGGGTCCTCCCACAAAGGCTTCGCGGTTTCAGAGGCTTCCTGGGCACTTCCTGGCGCCAGGAAGTACGTGGATCCCAAACCGAATTGTGGAGGATTGGTTGTTCAGAGAAACTGAGGGAGGGGGCTGGGGGATTGAATCTAACGACTTGCATGTAGGTTTTTCATGGAGCACTCGAACTGTCCATAGCTGTTCTGCAGGTGTTTTCTTCTTCGGCCAGGCAGTGAGTGAATAGGCCACAAGAGGCCCGGGTCCACATAGAAGGCCCGAAGGCCTCTCGTTGCACTCGACCATTTTTGGGACCGGAAGGCCAATATCTAAGAAATAATGTACATTGGATGATATGAGCTACAGCTTGAATATCATTTGCCACCTCCAAGCAGATATCAATCAAGAGAAAGGACACCTTTGTTTGGACCTCCGTTTTACCCTGTCCCGGTCTGTCAGAGGTCCGTCTGAGGTCGAAAAACACTTCCGCCTTGCTGCACATGTTCCGTCTGGCTGCTTTGACGACATGGTTCTCGCACAGGTCGATCTGCAGCCAGTAGACCCGGGTCAAAACGGACCTCTAACGCCCCTCCGAGTGGATCCCAGGCCACTATACTCATTTGACCAGGAATCAAGCGGGGTTCCCTGGTGCCATGATCTTCGTGACCAACATATAACATCAAATAACCATTTCGAACAGATGATTTCGATGATGATCGTGAGTGACCAACATCCATGTCATCCCAAGAACTTCCTATATAGGTCCTGCACCCAAGGGCTGAGACATCCTAGCTTCGTTTCAAACAATTGAAAACGACTGGTTTCGAACGTGCACCCGAGGGCTCCCAGTCCACCTCGGAAGTACCAAGAACCCTCAGTGGATCGAGGTCAGTGACCAGATCGATGCCTTTGTGGCCAACATCATCCGTAGCAAGGCCGAGCCGAGCCGAACGAGTCCTTTCGCGTCACGGCCCTCGTCGATCCGAGCCTGTTTTGGCCCTAGCTGGTTTGTTGCTCTAGAAATGGTGGATGTTCAGCTTTCCGGCTGAAGAGATTGTAGACTTTTAACATTGGACATCGGACATTAAATCAGGGCACGTGTGTCATTTATGATCATTGTATTTGATCGGTTGGAGTGACCCACGGAAGATGCGGACGTGACGATCGGATACTCTGATTTCTTCAATTCCCTGTAAACGAATCTGATACTGTCATAGTTTGTCACAGTCTGTCGACCAAACTTGTGGAAAACATCAGACCTAGCAGGGCTGTGTAGGTCTTTTTCGGCGCTTGTCCAATTCGAACCCCTTGTCCAAGGTGCCCAACATGGACATCGACGATGCGTTCGAGGCCAAGGACGACTTGTCCTCAGCCATCACCCAAGAGCCACTGGTCCACACTGAGAATGGGTGGCCAAAGAGAGGGAGACATGTTGACTTGATCTCTTGGAAAGAGCACAGAGCCGAGCCCTCTACTACTCACCACTGACAGAGCCCTCTACTACTCACACTACTCACACCAGTGTGTGGAGGACCGTGCAGCATGAACTCTGAAGGAACTCGCTTCTGGACCGCCAGGCAGACCCGGACCATGGGATTCAGCAGATTCATCAAGGACCGGACCATGAGACATCTCTCCGCGCCACAACCTCCGCCCAGCGGACCGGAACCCACGTCGTGCCCGGCGTGGTGGCGCGAATCGCCGAGGTTGGCAGCCACCTTAGCGCCTTTTGGCTTCGTGGTGCACAACGTTCTCTGTACCGAGCACCTGAGCTGAACGAGGGCTGGCGGCTGGCAGAGGGCAACACATGACCCGCAGTTTGAGGAAACCGTGCTGAACTGCCACAGTGCCAGAGACTATCATTGTGGCAGTTCATGAAGCTGGAACCCTCAGCGGACATTCTAAGAACTAGCTCTAAAGCGGATAGATCATGATAGATCAGCTTGGAAGCTGACATCCGAAGGAAGGCATTGGGGGTCAAAAGTTTTTCTCTTGAATCCTGAAGTTGCGTAAGAAACCAGAACATTTACAACACTTCCAGGATTCCTTGATGCCTTGGGATTTCTTTGGCATTCTTTAGCTATTTAGTTGGCATCAAACCTTGGTGCATGGGTGGTGCTTTGAACCTTAAATATACAATAAGAGCATTTATTTGGGCAACCCTATAGACACTCCGTGTTTTGGAATCTGCTGATCTCTGCTGTTTCTTTAACATACACTGTAGCAATTTTTGGATGTGGCCTGACAGTGATTTTTGGGTAGATGGGCGCCCCCATATCCTCCAATAAGGACTTGCACCATGTGGAAAAAAACGCTGAAACAAAGGGTGTGACCGTCACAGCTCCGGTCGACCCGTCCAGAAAGGCTCGACTCGTTCGCGTGGCCGACCCGTCCAGAAAGGATCCGTTTGCACAAGTCGGTCATGGACGCCATGAACGAGATCAATCGAGACTGAGCGAGAGGAACGGAGAAGCAGTCGTGGCTGGGTGCTGTCGAGGCCGAAGAAAGAGCCTCCACCAGTCACCAAGGACCAAAGACGAAGGTATGGCTGGACACAGCTTCTCAGAAGGTACTTGGAGAGCTATAGGGATAGTATAGTGGATAGTATAATTCAATAGTTTGGAGTCCAGAGCACATTCTTTCGGTGATTTTCACTGTTGTTTGCTGCATCGACTGGTCGCATTTATCATGGATTGCATTTGGGAGGCATTGTTTTCACAACAGCAGTGGACTAATATTCTTGAATTCCTTTATATATCCCTCCTCACCCGTAAATTTGGTGCCCTGGTCTTATCCCGGAGGATCATTTCGTGAAGAAAAACCTCAGATAGCAGATAGGGGACTTTCATGAGGGATATGATCATTTCGTAGACCAAAACCCTCTCATTGTAGGAATCACCCTTGATGGTTCAGTGGGGTTTGCTTGTTTTTGTGAAAGCAGTATGAATTCTAATTTCACAGTGCTGGTC